TTTTTTAAATTAGTTTAATTTATTGTATTTACCCAAGGTTTTCCTTGGTGAAACAAAACTGAATGAAGTCATTGTGACAGTGCATTTCAGCTTCCCCCGAAGTCATTCACTTAGTGTATTTAATTAAGCGCATTCTGCAAACTGAGGCAGCAATATCCAAAACAGACCTTTTTTTCAAACTGGCTTCATTAGACACTTTTCAGGCTGTGGTGTTCATCCTTTCTGATTTACTGCAATTCAGTTCCAATTGTCTTGACTGTGTTGCAGTTGATTATTATAAATTTAAATGCCAAATACAGCTGGATAGAAGATTGGAGGCATTGCTCTAGATTACGCACAAGTGAGAAGAGCTTTACTAGCTTTCTTTTGGAAGGAAAGTAGGTATTCATTTATGGTAGGTAATTTAGCAGCTTTACACCATGTGACATACACTATCAAATCAGCAACAAGTTATAAAAAAATCTACTTTATGACAGAGAGAAGAAGATCTCTTGTGATTCTTGTTTAAGTGTGTCATTGTACCACAAAACAAAGTTCCAGTATTTAGGAAGCACCTAGCTGTGAGGGTTCACATGGACAGCAGACACATAAATTAGAGCTGGTGGCTGATGGTCATGATGACGCAGGGCTTAAAATTGTGATGGCTAAAATTGGCACAACTCAAAAGAGCCAAAAGATTCTCATATAGTACAGCTTGAAACATCATGTAGTTAAGTCTGTGTGTGCTTTTTAAGCACAATGTTGATGCTACGGATTGTAACTGGATTGTGTTTTTAAGCATACATATGAGTCTGTTTAGCTCTGTCAATAAAATGTGTATGAGTATGTGTGTGTTTGTGAGACCGTGTGTGGATTGATCCTGTAATCTGAGTCTTATCTCGGTGGGTCCACAGAGATCAAGCAGTCCTGAGTCCTCTACACTCTGTCAAACACAGAGCTTCAAATGAGGACTTAAGACCAAGCTAATTAGCCTATTAGTGTCAGGTCTTTACAGCGATGCTGATACCAGTTAGGCAAGCAAGAGAAACTATGACAATGACCTTTCGTCTCTCATTACTTTACACACAACACAATTCAGGGTTGTATTCGAAAAACATCTTGTAAAGTGACAAACTCAGGGAGCTGATGTTGATGAACTTACAGGATAACTCAAGCGTTTAACACTTAGATGTGACGTCCTGATTTGTCTCCATCAGGTTCACTCAAACTAAAACACAGCTTTACCGCTTTGATTTAAATCCGACTTGTTTTGGCTTGAACGCCTGCAGGGAAATATTGGTGCTGAAAAATGCAGCAAAAAAGAAAACCATTGAAAAGCATTGCTTTGTCATGAACTGCTAAATGTGCAATAAATTATCATTTTAACAGACTTTTACACCAGCAGGTACCTAAAATTATCAGCAGATTGTGGTGAAATAGCAGCAAACACCTATGTATAGTGTTGCAAGGTCACAATACTTCAATCTACACACCGTTTTGTAAAGTCACTTTGTCGCTGAAGAGACGAAAGCAGTCTAAGTCTGCCTCAGTCCATCTTGTGGGGGTGATGCTGCACTGCTCACACATTGTGGTTTTGTGGGCACTTGACCTCTAACCAGGTGGATTTAACTTCTACGCCATTTGGGATATCTGACAAACCAGGATCAAATAAATGAGCAAGCACTTCACAGTCACACAGGATAGTGGTTACAACAGATTGATGGCAGTCGCTGTAAAGTTGATCAACTGCACAGTCACAGAAGTCTAGAGACTGGTCTGTGACCCCCTGGCAACCACAGGCCGCTAGAGAAAAATGTGTTTTCACTGATTGGTTGGCAAAAACATCCATGATAGCTTTGGTCACTAGCAGATTGTTGCATAGTTTGAAAAGAACATACCAATTCGTCTGCAAATTCCTATTGCTAGTGAAACTGAAAAGTAGGAAACAAAATGGACACAAAGACCTGTTGCCTTCAAAGTAAAAGTTGCACTTAAAAACATGTTGGTTGCAATGCTGTGGCACATCTTTGACTTTAACTTTGAGATAAGTCGGCACCTTCCATTCAAACTACAGACGACTGCGCCAATCTGCTATAGCAACCAAAACAAGGAAGAAGGAAGGTTTTGGTCTAGCATCCTCTCTGCAACCAAATTCAGAAACCTCCAGGAAACATTCCTCAACTATTCAGGAAATACATGTTTTTCCCTCACAATTAGTGGTTGCATCACGTCCAATATAGTGGAAAACACTCGAGTAACGTATGCATGATGGCACAAAGGAAGTCTCTTAGCAGGTGTGATGGATTCAGTTCTGCTCAGTGTTTATCATCTTATTGTTGTGGCCATCCACAACAGTCCCAGTTTCTCAATTTAACTGCTCACCGCTGCTCTATACCATAAAGTCCTATCTCTTGTCTACAGCACAAAAATCAAATAACAACCAACCTGCCTGACAATCTGTTGAAGAAACAGGCTTCCATAAATTTGAAGCAGGAAGTTACCATTAATATGCATGAACTGAAAACATGGTTAATTTGCAAAGCAACAGAGAAAAAAAATATTTTGAACAGTGATGCCACACTGTGATACTAACAGGTGGTGCTTTGCACTTTAGTTTCACGAAGAGAACAAATGCTGCAGAAAACTGTGTGTTTGTTGGGTTTTATACTGATGGCAGAAGTAGGGTGAACTTTGTTAAAATTCGTAGACTGATTTCTCTCAGGCTGAATATGCTAAGAACTGTTGAACGTCATTATCCATCATCTTAAATAAGAACCAATATACAACTGTTTTATCAGTTTTGTAGCAGGGGCACTGTAAAGGAGATGGGACTAGATTGCGATGAATAGTCAATCAATAATCAGCTCCAAAGAATGTAAAAAAAGTGCAATACATTACCAGACTTTTTTCCCCTAAGATATCTGGTATCAGTGATGGTGATGAATGTGATCAAAGGATGATTATAGGGATGTCCTTGGAGAGTGGGAACACTACTTATGAGGCATCCACCAGCATGACTCAGTCTCTGTGGTGACACTGTTACTGTTCTGTGCACATCCCAGTTCATAGGCACCCAAACCAAATGGCCACACAAGGTCAAATCCTAAGTGATATTTTCCATTTTGTGTTGTTCCAAACATAAACAAACAAATAGCTTCACCGTACTGTCCTTGTGGCTCTACTTCCTTTCCATACCACTTCTAATAACCTTATGAGTGAGAGCCACTGTCCACGTGCAAAGTAATGCTGGCAGATGCCCTTCCATCCTGACAGTTTCTGGCTTTTGAAAAGTTCACTCCAGATAACACAGCCAAGACAAAAGGTTAGAGCTGCTTGGACATCAGGCTTGGGACTTTGGGTCTGTACTTCTCATTAATAGCCCCTTAACAAGCCTGATAAAACATGACAACGCCTCAGGCAACAGATAACTGGCCACTTGATTAGATTCTGAGTCAATATCCACCCCTGCCCTCTCTTTCTTGCTGTATACGTGATTGGAAGACAGACAAAGTATTTAAAGCCAAAAGGAGAAGAATTCATGACTATACCCTGGTTGTGATTCATTTGGCAGCGCTTCCAAAAAGTTTTGGCTCCAGATTCTTAAAGGCCAAGGTTTTGCAAAAAAAGCTACCCTGAGCTATCAGTCCACACAGCATCCATTAGTGCATGGCTTCAGCCTGTCTGATTCAGTTAGTAATTATGAAATGGAGCATCTGCAGAAGCTCCCTGAGAGTATGTAAACATAGGCTCTGCCTTGGGGAATTAGATCAGAGGTCATTTAGATTTAGGTGAGAAAAGCAAAGAGTGCTGTTTCACTCGCGCTTTTCCCGTCACCTGGTAACAGTTTGACACACGGGAGCTACCTAGTGTATATGTCCAAACCAGTACAGCTAAACAGCAACAGCTGAGCAACCCCTCTTCTCTCTCCCTCTTCTTCCTCTCCCATGCCTCTGGCTGATTATGCCCCCTGAGATATTAGGTAATCTGGGAGCAGGCAAGAGGTGACAGGCCACTTCTTTTTTAATGACTTGTCAGTGAAGGCGCGCTAACAATCACCATGGATATGGTTGACATGTTTGCTGAGCGACAGCAGCCGTCCATTACATGTGCACTGTGCGGTAGCCAATCGGCACTCTATCAGTAAACCCGTGGGAGGTGATAAGCCTTCTTTACAGCAACGGGGGTTCCCACTAATAATGATACCAGATAAGGACAATATCGGCGAGGAACTGGAACGACATTTTCAAATTGTATCTGTTCACTAAGTAGACTCTTAAGCTAAAAAGACTGCAACTTTAAACAGCTATTTATTGCCACAAGTTTATAGGATAAATTATCAGCAGGAAGTGTAGTCAGGACCAAATCGAAGTATTCGAAAAGTCAAGTTGAAGCGCTTGTCTTGTTCCATATTCAAATGGCATTACAGCTCATTTCTGAATCAATACCCTGCCTGTCTTTATTTCTGCTCAAAATAAATCTATCATGACTCAAAGATGGAGAATAGTGAAGTAAAAAAAATTAATGATAGGGCACCAGGGCTGCAGCCTGCCTATTTTATCTGATGGAGCGAGGTGAACAAACGGAGGGATTAGCTTCCATGGGATGAAAGCAGCTGCTCATCTTCCGTCTCCATTCCCCTCCCCTCCTTTCCTCTCCTCTCCATCTGCCCACACATCCACGCTGTGGTCTCCCCTCGCAACAAAAGACGTGTTCTATATGTTGCTATCACTAGCTGCACTCCACCCTGCACCTACAGCAGTTTCCGAGCAAGCACAAAAAGCCTTTCAGTGCACATGGCAACGAAAGACGCGCCAAAAACGGTGTTAATAAGAAGGCTTGGGAGTGAAGTGTACTTCCCCTGTGACACCCTTAAAACACCCACCCTTCCTGATTATGTCACCTAGAAACAGATACATCACACACATCCACCCCACTATGAGAAGACACTACAAAACAAACAAGAGACGCCCCGATTCTTTGCAACTTCTGAGGTAGCCCAAAGCAGAAACGTGCTCTCTTACCTGGCAACAACAACACACCTTCAGCTCCAAATCTGCTCGCCCTGTCGAGGAGGCGCTCATCTGTAGTAGGAGTAGGAGGTCTTGAAGAAAAAGTGTGTGTGCTGTGTGTGTGTTTGTGTGAGTGTGATGCTGGAAGAGAGGAAGAGGGAGAGAGGGAAAGTGAGAGGTGGAGCCTAGCTGAGAGGAGAGAAAGAGGGCTGGATGATGACTCCGTCTGCCGTCTACATAGCCAGTCTTGTGGGAGCAGTGTGGATGGCGCTAGAATGTCTTCTGTTCAAACACAACAGGCAGATGCACTTAATTCACGGCTTGGAGAAAAAGCCTGGGGCAGAGAGCGGAGGGTGGGAGGAGGTGTGAGAAGACAGGAGAGACTCTGGGCTGTTTAAGCCAGTATCATCACACGGTGGTTCCTAGGAATCCCTCCAGTAAGAAGGACACTGCATCACTGAGTCCTTGACTGTGATTGGTTGGGTGTTGGGAAGACGTCAAGTATGGTGGGCAATGCTGCGTAACCTTAGCTGACCCTTTCAACACATATTAACATGTCTTGTCTGTGTTTTTCACCATTCGGGGCATATGTCACCTCCAAGGTCACTTAAAAAAAGAAAGAAAAGAAAAGAAAAAGACTCCCCTAGGATCTTGGGAATGTTGGGAGACTATGTGTATGCGTGTGTTTGTCAGTACACAGTAAGTCATGACCTGCCCTTGCACATGAGCAAACGCACACACAAATACACACATCCAACAAGAACTTGAAAGGAGGATGATTTCCCCAGAGGAAGGCTGAGCCTTTCAGGAGAAGAGCCACACAAACACCTGCAAGGACAATCTTTCATTAGAGTGATTGAACATGTTGTCAATCCAACCTCAAAAGCAATGAAGAGGTAAGATTAGACCGATCTTTTAACCTGACAACAAGTTACATCATGATGTATTTTTTTCTCATTGTTACAGGTAATCAAACTTTGTGTTGTTTACCAATAATAAATTTAATATATTATTAATGTGATGTATAAATTGTCTATTTTCAAAATTGTAAATGTAAACGTGCATCAGATTGTTTTTAAACTTCAAAAATAAATGCTAATCTACAACAATTATTTGGATGGCTATTATAAAGCAGGTTAGACAATGATCACTTGCAGTCGGTTTCTGTTTTCTAAGCGGCTTCGATCTGCCAATTCAACAACAAAACGACAGTATGGTGGATTCAGTCTGCTATCAGTGTCCTAATGGTTGGTGATTCAATATGGGGAAAACTGGCAATTATATGCAATATTGTTGTGATAATATAGCGATTAACCGTGATAAATTTGTCAGATTCACAAATCAGTTCCATATATACTCTATATACACAGAAATTCACATTAACTATTCAGTTCAACTCAGTTGTATTTATATAGCACCAAACCACAACAACAGCTGCCTCAAGGTGCTTCATAGTGTAAGGTAAAGATAATACAGGAAAAAACAACAACAATCAAACAACCCCCTATGAGCAAGCAGTTGGCAACAGTGGGAAGGGAAAACTCCCTTTTAACATCAAGCAACCTCCAGAAGAACCAGGCTGAGTGAGAGGCAGCCATTTATTGCAACTGGAGGTCAAAGAAGGAAGACGGAACAAAGGAGATAACTTATTACCTTCTAATACTTACTTATTATAAGGGAACTGCGATTGTTTGGATGGGGTTGCCTTCCATGAGGCAAACTTTGCAATCGTCTTGCGATGGAAAAGTGGTCAACCACAGAGTGTTGCATGCTCAACCTCTTGATGACTAGATAATCACTAAACCTACTTGCAATCAGTCACGCATAAAAAAAAAATTCACCAGCCAGCAACCAATTTCTTACTAGTCACAAAGAGGCTGCTGACCTACTTTTACTGTGACTGAACCATAATGGAACATCAGTTTCAAAATCACAATTTATTATGTGGATTATTAACAAACACATAATTACAAATTTTATGTGTACCAGTATAGTCAAAATATCATGCAAGTATGTATCTACATAATACATTTTATAAAATTCATTAAATGTGTGCAATTTTTAATAGATGGACTATTGACAAACAGAAATTTAACAGTCAATCGAAAAATAACTATTTACCTATGTTTAATTAAGTATTAATTTACCATTTTTCAATAACTGTTGTTTTTTTTAAGTGTTACCAAATTTAAATTAGAAATCTTGCAACTATTAATATTAAAATAAACAGTCATTCAACACTAAGCGCTTCATAAAAGCTTCAAATTCAAAAGGGAAAATGCATGTGTCGTGACATACTAGCAAAATAAATCATGACTATGGAAAGGGGCTGATAACAACATTTTTGGCTGCCTCAGGCAGAAAATGAGGTTTTCCATCAGATGCAAGCCTTGAATAAAAGCAGTGTCCACCTGCACTCAAAGGTTAGACAGAAACTGATGCTGCAGAATGAATAGAGCTCTCTGTCTTATGGTTTCCAGTAAAAATATAAAACCAGTCCAAAGGTGGTGCTTAGGTAGAGCTATAAGTGCTCTTATGTACATAGCATATTGTAAAAACATCTCAGACGTGAATTAAGCTGTCATCAGCTGGGACCTTTGTGATATACTCTGATTGCACAGGTTCAATTTCCTGGAAATTGTTTTTATATGTGTGAGTGTTTAAGTTGTTCAGGTGGCTGCATGATTCTTCAAGTACTAAACGCAAGTTCATCTGAAGTCCTCGTACCGAAGGCGCAACGATGACTGAAACAGATTGTCAGCTCCTCACAGGGCTTTACATAGCAGGTGACCTGACCCAGATTATTCCACACCCTCGCTGGATATCAGCTTAGATAGACTACAAAGGATAAGTCAATACAGATAAAGGATGCATGGATGGATGGAAGAGAAAATGATTTTCTAAAAATAGAATTTAAAATGAGCAAGATGTCAGTCCAGCAGTGGAAAAAAACAAATTACAAAGCATGAGTTCACTTAGTTTAACTACTTAATCTGTGTATTTGAAACTGCTATGACAGTCCTGTCATATATGATCATGATCATATTAACACATAGCAAATTAACGCTAAATCTACGATTGATTTTCATCTGATGTAACTGTTCTCAAAGACATAAAATTATGCAAAAGACAAATGCAAAGCACGACCACTTTGTTAGATGACTACTTCAAGCTCATAAGAAGGTGACAGCGGCAGTGGTTATTTTATGTTTTTCGTTGACATGCTTGACAATCAAATGAATAATTTTGGATATATATCAGTCAAACAGCATTAATTCTGTGTCTGAATGTAACATGATCACAAAGTTGTTCTGTGCTCCAAAATTATGGCCAAAAGGTTGTTTGTTTCTTTAGCAGGGCACTATGATCTCACAGTGCTCACAGACTGATAATTCAATGTTATCACTCAAACATTTTATCTTGCTAAATGTTTTAGTGAAAGTTTGTCAGACTTGGTAGAGTCTTTTTTATTCCAATTTTTTTATTTTATTTGTATCTTTATCTTTATCTATTATTACTAATACTACTAAAATTGTCTGGTGAATGATTTCTCCAGGGGAACAAATTCATGTTATGAGCAATTAAGAGCTTTTTAGTGATAGGAATATGTGGTTCTTTAGTCTTACACCCCCATCCCCACCCCAACCGGTAAAGTCTCCTGTCCTTGTATTTTCCTAGACAAGGCTCTGGCCGTGAGATGTGCTGTGATTACTGGTTTTAATGGCAGTTTGTCTTGAAATGAAGGAGCTTGTTGGTTCTGGGGGGGCTCTACTGGCACACTTACATTGTCAAGAGCAGGAACACCAGCTGCATCCTCCCTGGTCCTGTTCAGAAATAGCTTGGCCCCAGTTGTAGCCCTGGCCTTGTACCAGCCAACAGCCCCCACCAGACAGGCGGCAGGCCCCGCTCCAGCAGTGTGGCTCAGAGTCTTCCTATTCTAGAGGACAGAGGTGTCTCTAAGGCCCGGAAACAAGAGGGCAGCAAACATTTCCGACTCTTTGCTCTACAAGCAGTGTCCTCTGTCACAAAGCGTTTCATCTAATGGGCTCAGAGCAAAATCAAAGTGACAATATTAATCATGTGATGCGGAAAATAATTAGAGGGGCTATAAAGGACTGAGTTAGTCCTTTCCCCCATGTCCCAACATACAGCAGATAAGTCATTAACGCTTGGCTCAGTGAGTGTTGAAGGGGGTACAGGATGCATTTTGTAATGTGGTCATTAGGAGCTAATTACTTTACAGAAATCTGACATTTATCAACAATTACAACACAGGTGTCTCGAAACACATCCTTAGCCTTACTTTATCTTCTCTCTAACTTGTAGAAACTGTTAACACACTTCAAAAGGGGTTATTTAATTAACATTTTTAAGTGTCAGTGCTCCTCAGTAAAATACTAAAAAAAATGTCTGGAGATACCCATGCTTATTATTAAGTGCCAAAAAACACTGAAGCAGAAAAAGTCCTGTTGTCAGTTTCTCCCAGTCCATCTTATTCCCTTATTAAAAAAATGTGACAACGCTAGTGATTGTTTTCATTCTCCCAACACGGCCGGTTGTTGATATGCAGTAGTCTTCAGAGGCATTAGTCATCCACACCTGGCTGTGTTGATCAAAACCCTGCTATGGTCAAATCAGCTCTCTATCAGTGTGTGATTCATATAGGAGAGGCTTGCCCTGCCCTGTCTGTCTGCATGCTAGCATGGCGCCCCAGGAAGCCTGGTGTTTCTCTTGTTTACAGATCGACAGCATCTCTGGGAGAAGCCGGACGACAGCCTGTGACAGACTGATGGATGAGGAGACACTCATGCGCCACTGTGTCATCCCTGCACTCTCCACCCACTCTCCACTCACACTCGCCTACCAGAGGCGAGGATAGAGGAGTGCATTTGTTAATGCATGCAGATCGAGATTAAAGTTGCACCTTTTCCACCAAACCATGCAGAGAGGGGCATGATGGGTAAAAAGTGGGCGGCTGTCAGGTTGCCTGATTGTTAACAGCCACATGACAGGGATAGATCCACTGCAAATGACAATGCTTGGGAATAGAGAGGCCAGATGAAATGGGTGACAAGCAGAGGTGACAGGACACAAGGGCACCCAATGAATCTGCATAGAAATGAGAAAGCTCCTCCAGAAATTACATCTCAAAATCTCCTTCCAAAAAAAAAAAAAGAAAGAAAAAAAGAAAGGTTGAGTTGCTATTCAGAGACAATAAAGCTGATTTTCAAGTGTGGCATTGCAGGTACTAGGGCT